ATTCGGAAGACTTCCAAAGATCTTTTTAATGACTGACAAAAGATCACACAGGACCTACTTATGTTTTGCAAAGCAGCATAAAATCTCAGGCCAACACAAACAACTTCTTACAGCATATATGGCTGATCAATAGTCTGGCTGGGGATTGGGTAAGCCACTGTAGTAAAGAAATACATGTTTTAAAATGGAAAAGGAAACATTCTCAAATCACAGAACTTCTGAAACTTAGCTCATGCCTCTGTCATGTGCTCTCCCTCTATAAAAGATAAACGTGTTCCTCTTGACACTTACTGCAACAGGCTTCCTGTTGAAGTTTGACAGGGAGGTGAATTTTCTCAAAAAGTTGTGGTCAAACCCATCAGTGGTTAGGTTTAGATAGCATTGCAGCATTTCTGAGAGAGTGAGGGCATGATTTATGTCTGGAATGAGATTTGAGCTACTCCAGTCTAGGCCTCAGATATGGGCCTTGTAAGGCCTTCAAACCTGTGACAGATTTAGAAATTAAGAGCTTGTGGCACAGTTAGAAATTATATTAAGGTGTGATGTGAAGCACTGGGCTTTCTGGGTGTGAAGTAGTATAGGTTTATAGTGTGAACTTTAGTCCACCTTAAAACAAAGACAAACAATGTTAGCTTGCCAATGAGAGTGCCTTTGTAAACTGTATGTTGTATGGAAGTGTATATAAGCTGCCATCTTCTAACTAATAAATGGAGAATGTTTGATTAAACATATTGGTTTGATCTGCGTTTGTCCAGTCCAGCTTTCCTGTCTAGGAAGGCCCCTGGCTTTGAGATACTGATATTCAGAGTGACCATAACACTACCATAGATGACAGCCATTCTGAGAGAAACACTTTTGTACAGGATGTAAACATGTCTGCATTTGGATGCTATCCTCGGTACTAACCTTCTCTCCTGCTTTTTTCTCGTTGGACATCCTTGCTACTGCAGATGATGGAGCTGTTTATTGGGAAGAGTTTCTCTGATGCTCATCACAGCACAGCAGGAGGTTTTTGCTCCCTTGGGCTTCTCAAATTCTTTTTGGATGATCTCTTTATCAGCAGAGGGCTGATGGAACACAGAATGTCTGAATAATTGCCTTTCTCTTCTCCATCCATGACACAAGAATTGCCTGCACTCAGAAAACACAGTTTTCTGAACCATCCTATATAATAACAAACAATGCCTTCTAAATTCGGCCATCTAAATGAGGTCACTATTGAAGAGCTTCACATGCCAAGTGTTACCTAGCAGGGAGGGAAGCAGAGGAAGACAGGATCACAGCAACCACTGATCAGTCATTCACAGGCATCACCAGGAAGAACCAGGAGAGAGCCATGAATTTCATGGGCTATTGTGTTTCAGCAACCCATATCACCCCACTCCTTTTAAATCTCTTCTCATGACAAGCTTCCATTCTCATCACAGTGCTCACCTGAGGCACATGAGTAAATAAAATGAAGAATAGGAGGGAAATTTTCTTCTGACTTCCAGTCACTTGAGCATCAAGCAGACAAGAGAAAACCTCTGTCCTACTCTAAGGGAAGTGGTTTATACTCACCTACAGCTAAAGCTATTCTGAAAACCCACGTTATTAGACCCAGAGTGATAAAGAGCTATGAATTTACTGATTCTGAGAAAAAGGCAGCTTTAAATGAGCTCTGCTACTCCTACTCTCTCCCCTTAGAACTTCAGGTTGAGATGATTAGGACCAACTAAATAAAAAAGTAATTTCATTCATGCCCTGGTCAAACATTCCACAGTCTCTTGTCCTTGCCAATGTACCAGCCAGTCAAACACTGAAAAAGCAAGCTATCCATGGTAAGATTCCACTGGAATACTAGCAAAATCTTTGTGGACTGCACTATTTGAAGGGCCTGAGGTCAACTCACTGTGAATCACTCTTACTGCTCTGCTTAGCCTACTACCTCAGCTCAGCTCAGCTCAGCTCAGCTCAGCTCAGCTCAGTGACCTCCCAGCTACCTTCAGCTGCATAAGCCCATGACCTGCAGTTAGAAAGACATGAGTCTTACGAAAGAAACAGAGATGGGGAATGAAGGGTGGAGATTAATCCACACTCTGAGGAACAGACAACACTAAAAACAGTCTGGCAATAGCTTGTGTCTAGAAGCTGCGTACCTCCAAAACCACCTCAGGGGTTTGGGACTTGTGCTGACTCGCACAAAAGAACCCACTCCACCCTGTAGCAGTGGGCTACTTCTTTCCAGCCTGGATGGAGACATGGCCTGCATTTTGCAAGCATGTCCAGGTGTTCAGAATGGAACATTCTGATCATATTTAGCACTTTAAGGCATTCATCTCTTCTTTTCTCAAAATATGTTTTGTGAAATTATAGGTACTGCTATCCCTAATATTGCACTTGCCTTCAAAATACTGCCACTCCCACGTTTCAAACTTTGCTTCTCTCAGAAGGATGCACAAATAGTTGGAGTAGTTGCAAGCACCTGCACCTGCAATTTTCAACTAACTGCGTCTTCAGAAAGGATTCTGACAACAGGCCATTCTCTGGACATGAACATGGCACTCTGAGGCAAGACAGATATCTTTGCTACATCTTATAGCCCAGTCTCTATGGCCAGAGCCACTGTCCTTGAGATAAGATGAAAAAAAATCAGGGAATGTATTTTTGCCAAATGAAAATAAATTAGATCTACTGTGGGCTCTCATTCTGTTTAAGAGCAGAGTTGCATATACCTGAGAAACAGGTCTGTGAAGGAAAGGCTTCCAGACCTTACTTGAAAGAATGATAACAGACACCACTGTGTTGAAGGCACAGATAACAGCCCAATTAAGGAGGGTTTTCTTTCATTGTAATCACAAACAATTTAAAAACAGCTCCTTACTTGCTTTCTTTTGTCATATTCATTGTGAATTTTTCCTTCTAGGAAAATGTAAATAATTGTTTTCTATTTATGTTTCTCATGAATTTGTGGTTACTTTGTAACCATTGTTAGTTGCAAATTAGATTCCTTAACCATTGAAAAGATGAAGAACAGCATGACCTTGGCTGAAGAGAGTGATGTCAAAAATCGAAAAACATGGCTTGTTTTTACTATCCATATCTATTACTATTTTGCCAAATAAATTTTATTGTGATTTGACTAATACTTATAGATTTCATAGGTCAGCATATTAATATTTTTTTCCTTTGGTTCTGCCAAGAAACCCACTCATTCTGATTCTTAATGACAACGCCTTTCATCTTTATTCATGTCATGTAAGTTGTGAGCAGAAAACAAATTGTCAGTGAAAAATGTTACTCACCTTACTATTCTCTATTTTCCCCCTTTCTCTCTTTCTCGGCACAACTGAAACAGTTTATTTAGTTCAGCAGTCCTGGAAACAAAAATAAAAATTGTTTTAACAATTCTGATAGCCATCAGTTGTTCAGAAGATATTACAAGACTGTCTTATCTCCTAATTAATCAGGAAAGTACAAATTGCACTTTCAGAGCTTTCCTGAAATGCAGTGAATTTCTATTTTAGTTGTACATACATCTTTTGCTTCTAGAGAAGCAAGATAGTAGAAAGATCTTCCATGTGTTTTGTATATGTGTAATTACAAATCACTATGTAGCTTCCTGACCAACAGATTTTGAAGTCTCTGATCCTGAAATCTGATTTCATTAAGGGTAAATACAAACAGCTATAGAGCTGCAATGGAGCCAGTGAAGCAATAGAGCCATACTCAAGGAAACTATGCATTGTAATAGATGATGGTACTGGGAGAGCTAAAATAAAATGCTTGTAAATCCACAATATAAAATCAGCATATGAAAAGGAAAGACCTGAAAGATTTGAGAGTCCGTAGGAACAAAACCTGATGGCAACTTTGTTTCATCACTCTCAAAACCTATAGTAAAATTTTTCATATTGTTCTCATGAGGTACTATGAAGGTGAAGGTTTAAATGTGTGAAGAGAAAGGAGGAGGTGTTAGGGATGGTATGAGTTTGCTGGATTAAGTGATTTGGCTCCTAGGAAGCTCTGTTGAGTGATGAAGAAGGGACAAGGAAAAATGAGGAATTCCATTCTAGCCAATAAAACATTAAGGAGAAGCATTACATGAAGAGCTCATTCTTTTGCAGCTTGATTCCTCCCTGATGAATGTATGGGCAATAAATACTTCAGGGTTTTCAGGAGAGAATGCACTGAAAATTTTTGTTCCAAGAACTGTTCCATTCTTTTATCAGTGATGATGTGTGCTGCATGTAAACAGTTGCCAGGAAGGGTAAAGTGATAAGAAAAGGTTTAATTTATCGATTAAAAAATTCTACGGTTAAGGTTTATAGAAATTCAAGTCTGAGACATTATTTTGAGCTAAAGCCAGCATGTTCCCTTCTTCTTAGTCTGAGAAGAGCCACCTTATTGCTGTGCTCACATATTTTCAACTTCTGGGATAGAAACCTGCTCCTTTAGAAAGGATATAAAAGAGCATCTACTAAACCTGAATATGGTGGGCCTATGTTCTGCTATTTCTGAACAGCCTGTTCTTATGAGGAAAAGTTTTTCTCTGAAAGGAGATCTAGGGAACTTCTATGCCATAATGAAGATGGGAATGAAAGAAGACTGAAGAACAGTAGGGAAAAATAATATATTTGCTGTGTTCTTTATGCACAGATCTTTCTGAAGAAAGATCTGTGCATGCTGAAGCAGCCAGATCAACAATTTGGTCTTGACTTCTTCCTTCCTCCTTACTTGGATAAAATGTACAATGAGCATGAGGGAGGCCAGGAAATGGCAGATGTAATAGTGAGTTGCTGTCATGCTTTCTATCCCTTTCAACAATGTGGCATAATTGTATCTGAAGGCCTCTGATTGTTGAGTTGAGATCTTCAACATGGCTATCTTGCCCTTATGACACTCGAAGTCATGAAGGATGGGGGTCCACATTGTCACAATGTCCCTTTCTCAGTGATTCTTCCTGCAGAGGAGTGTGACTCAGCCAGCCTGAACATTTTTCTCTGCATTTACACCCGTGAAACACAATGACAATGGAGCAGATGCAGCCTTTATCTGTCTGTCTGTATGAGGTTTGACCTGTGATTCATAAGAGCTGATCCTCACCTTCCAGTCTGCCCCTCTTCCTGAAGGCTTCCTGCTCAGATTTGATTGTTCACTGAATGCATTTTCCAGATATGCTTTTTTGCTTTTATTTCCCCTCTACCTTCTCCTTCCTCATTTATGAAATGAAGCAATGAGGGGGAAGAAATTAACTGTAAAAGAAGCACAAAAGCAGAGATTTGCTGAATGACTACAGCAAACTCAAGGAGCCTTCATGTAAGAATGGAGTAATTGGACAACAAAATATCATACAATTTTGGGACATGATGTGACAAACATTTATATGACCTTGAATTATACATGTTCAAATTCTTCTCTATCTTCAGCCACTATTATTCTGGAAACTCTTTCTGTATGATTTAGCTTAAAATGAAAGATGCTTTGTTCCTTCAGCCTGTGTTTAGAAGGAGGGGAGGACACACATTTGCAGCCTGTCCAGGCAAGTGTGGCAGGCCTGTGACTGCCCTCATAGCTGCTGTTTCCTCTTCCTCTCATGGGTATTATAGCTCTACATCCAGCTGTCCTTCCTGAACACGTCCCATTGGCTCCTTGGTTTCCAGTGCATTCGGGGAAATGGTTTTGGTTTTAGAGTTGCTCTAAGTGAGTTTTTATCTTCTTGCAAAAGTTTAGGCTACCACAGTACTTCTCTGAAAAAACAGACAAGTGAGGGGATTGGAAATAAGGCCTAAAGAATACAAGACCAGTGTGGTGCCTGAGATCTTTCCTGTATGTTGTATATTTCTTAACCAGGAGACATAGAACCTCTTCATTTTCCTCTTCCAGAGTCCTCTGTTTAGGCTGAAAAATCTCTTTGCAACATGGGATTGCGCACAGTGTGAGTCTCAAAACTCTGT